TCTGTATAGGATACAGTAACAGCCCATAAGTCAGAGCAGATTCATGTATATGGAGTTCCTTGTTTCCTTTGATAAGAGGAACTTGCTCTTAGCTAATGTGAAGAGTTTTCAAACATTCATTATAGCTTACTGTCACAAGAAAGACTATCCAGGTACTTTACATTATGTAACTGTAAGAAAGGTTACTTTTATCCCAACTGGAGTTATGCTTTAAAGTGGGATTCCACCTTTTCAGCTAAATTTGAGAACCCATATGTTTGTTACGTATTCCCTTTCACAAAACATACCTAAAAATAATAAAACAAAATATTTCTTACCTTTCAAATTGTTTATTTGGAGCAGGATTATAGACAGAACTCCGTGGCCAGCTTGCATTGTTCAGAATAACTTGCAATGTGCTGATTTAGGGACAGACTGTATTAAAAGTGCACTAACATACAATGTAGAAGCCAAGCCTTGAAATCCCTAAAGCTAGCCATACATGTAAAGATTTGGATAGGCTGAACGAGAGAAATTCATAAATTCCCCCATAAGTTGTAAAACAGCTCCTGCAGCTGAATATTGTATTCTAACAGCTGTTGCCCCCCCGCAGCACTGTCCAGCCAACTTTTTTCCAACTGGCTCCTTCAATTTCCTAATCAAAGTTTGTCAAGCTGGGTGGTGTTGGTTGGGCCACCCGTGGCTTGAATTTTGGATGATTCCTGTGAATATGAGACATGTATGGCCACGTTTGACTCCTTAGGATTATAACTCATTGAAAAAGATCTGCCAGTGCACTACAGACAGAGAAATTAAAACTATAGGCAAAACCTTTTTTTCACTTTGAATAGCGTAAGGGAGGGTTATAACCCCTGTCAGATTTTGTTTTGCCATTTGTGACCCATTGGGGAGATTTATATTAATTTCCTGTCTGATAGCCAAAGAGGAAGTGAGAGAAAATCCCTGAAATTTAATGAAATCCTTTGGGCCCCCCAGGTCACCAGAACTGTCCAATTAAACGATTTCCTCTCTATTACTTTTCTGAGGGCAACCCAAACTTTTCTTTTACTTTCGCTTTCAATGATAATGTTAAATAAGAAAAGAAGAGGGTGAATCTCCCTAAAAATTAGATAAGGAAAATCTCCCTAATCAGGGACACAGACAGCAAAAAACTATTAGATGTGTTCTAATCCCTCTCCACTCTACATTAAACTAGAAGAAAAAATTGCCTTTAGTCATACTTTAACATTACATAAAATGCAAGAGCTAAGTAGAATTTTTTTTTCAGTTTTGGAGATTTTAGAAAAAGTAGAAAGGTAAGCAGCAGTTTTGAAATATTTTTTAAAGTTATGCTGTGTGAATGAGAACACATTACAAATATAAAGTAGGTATTATCTTGATTTGGCTGCAAAGTTGAAATACACAAGCCAAACTTTCAGGTTGGATGATATAAGAAGGATTAGGCCCCTTTCACACTGACAGTCCAATCGGGTTCACATGTCAGATTTTCAGGTAGACCTGATTGGACCATCCCTAGACCTCTATGGACTGGCGGGTGTCAGTGAAGTGTCTTGTATGCCAAAAGCAGATGGATGGGGATCCTTTCTTCATTCGTCTGGTGGATTGGATCGGGTGGCAGTCGATGACCGCCCCATAGAAAACAGTGGGCTGTGTCTGTGTCTGCTCTTGCAGACACAGATCTGTCATCCACCTGCTCAGTGTTGATCAGCAGAAAGATCCCCCGCTGAGCAGGTGGATCCACTGACTGGTCCGCCCCATCTAAAAGGGGCCTTAAAATTAAAGCAGATTTTCATCTTGTTGAACTCATCAAAGATGATCGAGAACCATTCAAGCTAACTGATAGAGGAAGTTTCACATGAGAATGCAAAAAACTAGAAGTGAAGCATCACTCCAGTTTATTGGTTTCCTGCACGGAATAATACACTGGATGGCCCAACCATTTAAAAAAAACATTGCCATCTATGGATGATTTAACGTATACATAAAACCTGTTTGCATTATCTGTACCACATGGAGAATTGTGCATCTTGAAGAATTATGCTGTAATACATATAAAATCGTTTCACAGAGTAGGCTACATGAAAGGGGACATCCTATATCCATTTCATGTGTAAAATCTGGCCTTGCAAATACTACACTCAGTGGAACACAGCTCCGAAGAGATTTTATTTATTGTCGAGTATTAAAATGCAAAAGAGGGGTTCTCAAATGCCAAAGGCTTTGTCAATCCTGCTCGCCTTTTTTTTTTCTTTTTTTTTTTCTTAAAAGGATGTAGAACTTGTACTTTTTTATAAGTCTACTAGAAGCCTGCAGAACGAAATGTGAACAAATCACTAGTAAATATAGAAAAAGATTGGTTATATATTGTGCCAATGACCTAATGGCCTAGTAGCAGCTGTATCCTCCCACATGTACCCTAAAATGCAGCTATCAATACAAATGTACACTTTGCTGCAGATAACCTAAATACTCACTCTTCTGTTTAGTATACTCAGAAGTCAGCAAAGTGTCTGTGAGCCATAGAACACAGTTGTATACAGGGGCGGACTGACAACTCATGGGGCCCCCGAGCAATAGGGGATCATGAGGTCCCTGTGTCCTTGTCCAAACTCCAAAAAGCCTATGAAAAAGGTACCAGGGGCATCTCATGGGGCCCCCTACTGACCCCGGGCCCTCGGGCAGTGCCTGAGTTTCCAAATGGTCAGTCTGCCCTTGGTTGTATACTCTACATAGCATGGTATGTTTACTGTGCAAGTGCTGATTACAATTAGGTGCTGACATATTACCCAATCCACTGCAAGTGGTGTACAGGATCTAAAATCAACGGGCTTTCTCTTAATCTCTTGTAACAAGAACAGAAGTTTTTTCCCATTTTAAAGTAAAGCTGGCCATACATGGATCAAAATTTGGCCGGTTCAGCGGGAACTGGCCAAATTTCAATTTATGTATGGCTGTTTCAGTTCATGAGAAGTCGATCTATTGATCAACTTTTCATGAACAGGTTTGTGGAAAAATCTCCGCTTGATCAGTGCATGCAGCCAATAGGCTGCAGCGCTTATCAGTGTGGTCTGACGTCGGGGAAGTCGTGCTGTCAGAATACAAAGACACAGCAGGATTTGTCTATCCACCTGGAATGTGTGGAAGGGGAAACTGTCTCAGTTTTTCGTTTAGCTGGCTGGCTGAAAAAAAAAAACAAAAACGGGTGATGTATGCTTAAGACTCCACTTTTTTGAGAAAAAAAAAATCCAGGCTAATTAAAAACAATGTGAAGGTTTTTGCAGACACTACTAATAATGTGTGTCTGTTTCAGTTTAGAAAGCAGTAACAGACCACTGGGAAGGTCTGTCTGCCTAAATATGAAAATGGAACACTACATCCTTAGCACCCCTGTATAGATGGCCAAATAATAACTAAAGGTGTTGTAAGTGCAAAGCTGGGGATGCCTGCAATTATACCTTGAATTCTGGGTAGACTTTTAGAAGAGTGAGCTAATCACATGGACAGAGAAAAACATTTCTTGGGGTGGTCTGCACAAAAACTGGGTACAGAATAACCCCTTGTAAGTTGTTGACATTGTTGCAAGGAAGCAACATTTGAATGTAAAAAAAACCCCATAGCTATCTTTAGGTTGAAATTGATTTTTATAACATTAAATGGAAAAATGTCTGGGGTGACGATTATTTATATGAACTTTGCAAAGAAAGCAGAGGTTTCCTTTAGGGTAGAACTTCTAGCCCTGTTAAAAGGGTCTGGTCACTCTTAGAATTCAAGAGTTCCTTACTAGATAAACTAGCCAATATACCAGTCCACAAACATGAGATGATCATTGCATTTTCTGGCTGATTTCAACAACTGTAAGGCTTGCAGCAAAGCACCCTCTGGGTACAGCCATTATGATTATTTATCTGAAAGTACAGAGAGGAAATCAATGACAGGGTAAACTTAAAATAAAATAACTATCTACAATCTGTGATCTTGCTTTAGGCGTCGGACCTCTTGCACACAGTCGGCCAAGCCCATGTGTATTTTCTCTACCTGGAAAGTTCAAGTACTGCCTACCATCGACATAAACAGCCAGTGCACATGTAAACACAAGTACAACTCATGGGCATATGCAAAAAATAAAAAAAGTTCTACTTTTTGCATGTGCGTCCGGTATACTCATGTTTTCCGATAGCATTTTGTTTATACCCAAGTACAGCCATGCACAAGCCATTCATGTCTATGGATGCAGCACCTGGACTTTCCAAGCATGGGAGATACACTGGAATTGACATTGCACAGACACAGGCGCCTGTATGCAAGAAGCCTCAGAGACTTGCTAATTCTGCCCCAAAAATGTCCTTGCTTCTTATAAATAAACCAAACAAATGATATCCAATGGTCCTAATTAAAAAGAATGTGTTGACCTATGATAGATGCTGTAGGGGTTATTTACTGAACAGATGATAACTGATTTCACTTAATGACAGTATCAGTTCTGGTCCTAAAATTAGATCGCCCCAATCTGTTACCCCATTTCACTTTGACGCAACCTGCAGTGACACCGCTGGATCCTGCTAGACACACATGGCACATGTACAACCTAACTGCCAACTGGTCACCACAAGGGAATTCTGGGAAATCCATATGGCTCAATTTTGACAATGCATTGTAATAATGTTAAAGATGCAGGTTTACTGAAGTCTCTAAATTCTTCAAAACAGTGGCGCATAAAAAACAGCATTTAAAAAATATAACTGAGAGTTGAAAAATATCTCTCTCCACCGAACAGCCTTATCAGCCATGAAAGGGAATGCAATACATTGCATAGAAGTAGGTCAGTGTCCCTTCCACTTCTGAAAGGCTTAAAACAAAATTCCTGTGGAGATTTTCCTATAATACAATAAACATACTGTGTGTAATAGTTATACATAAGATCTACATATATATATATTTATATATAATATTTATAAATATATTTATAGAGGTGTACAGGTAGAGGCACGTGGTGGAGAGAATTAGAAGAGCCTGGCTTGTTTTTTCAGCTCGTTTCTTTTCCATAGTGCCAGGCGGTCAAATTCTGCTATCGTCATTCCAAACACCTGATAAAACTCTTCAGCTGACAGATGGCGCTGCGAAAAGGTGAAACAAAAACAGAGATAATGTTACAAGTGATGGTGAAATAAAAAACAGAAAGATTTGTTGGATTAAGACAGCTGCAAGAAGCTTGTAACAAATCACTTTTGAATGGGAGGGTGGGGTGGGGTGGGGGCGTAGAGTTATAGTGGGCAAATATCACACTTCCTAACCCACTGTCTTTTGACTTTCTCTTGCCTAGACTGAATTATAGATTTCTTTTGTTAAATTTAAGTACACTAAAAGGCTACTTTTTTTTCTGAATTTACTACTATGCTGTAAATAGTCCATGATGTAAGCAGTCTTAAATAGCAGAGCTGAAATTACACATGGCTAAGAGCCCATTCAGATGAGTGATCTGGAATGGCCGCTGATATAAATTAGAGAACAGCCACAGCCAGCAGCCTCTACAAATCAATGACAGGCTGACAGGCACAGTCGTTCTTTATGTCCAGGCATTTTGTTCAACATACACAAACTGGCTGCAGATAATTCACTACTTTGTATGCACCCATAACATCCAAAGGGAGCCTCTCAATGCAGCAGCCCATTGTCTCATATGACATCTGAATGATCCGTAAATGATTCACATGGGTCACATCATCTGCAGTGGTGTATTTAGGTTTCCTGCTGCCCTAGGCAACAAAAAATCGGACCCCCCATCATGGAGAGACCCTGACACCGACCAACACCCCCCTCCCCCACAAAGAGAGCCTGACACTGACCAACAGTATCCCACCTCCACCCAAAAGGGCCTTCCACTACCACTGCCCCCCCATACACTGACAACCTCCCACCCCAGCAAGAGAGAAGACACTCACCTTCACAGCTCCGGACATCCCCATTAACAAGAGTCAGGCTCTGCATACACCATCAAATAGCCCGCAGCCTCTCTCAAATCCCACCTGGTCTCCATGCTGTGTGTGTCCCTTCTTCCATCCCTTCTTTCAGGGGGGTGGCACTTCCCCCCCTGAAAAATCCTGCTGCCCCTCTGAAAAATGCTGCCCTAGGCAAATGCCTTGTTTGCCTTGTGGTAAATACGCCCCTGATCATCCTTGTCGGTTATTCATAGGGTCCTATATAAATCTGACAGTAAAAAAAGGTAAGCAGGAATTTCTGGACTTTCTCTTTAGAAAGCCCAGAAAGTTCGACAAAACCAGGGTCACCTAGTAGATGCACACTTAAATATTTGGTTGTAAAACCAGTTGTATAAAAAAATTTAAAAAATAGATACAAAATATCAAATTATAAACTTTAAGCTTTAAAAATACATCAGAATTACCCTTTTCCACCACAGTAATCTATATGTGCGGCAGCAAAAAGCTGGGCTTTAATGCCCACATGCATACATATGCATCTCTGGGAGGGCAATGTTTTTGCCAGCACAAAGACTGAGCTGCCTAAAACAGCTCTCGGTCCTGAGAAAACATCGGTAGTGGGTGGGTCCGGATTCCAATCATGTGACCGCTGTGGCAGCCAATCGCTAATTCTTCCTGCCCCCCTGGGTGTTAAAAACTTTTAAAGGGGATGCCAGGGTGGGCGGGGAAGGGGTTAATGAAATACCATTAGTTTCTTTTGAAAGTGATACTAAAGTAAAGTTTTTAAAATAACAAAACAGGTTTATACTTACCTGTTCAGTGTAGTGGTTTTGCACAGAGCAGCCCAGATCCTCCTCTTCTTGGGTCCCCCACTGGTGCTCCTGGTTCCTTCCCCCTGCTACTTGTGCCCCACTCACTCCCAATCCCCGCTCTGTGTGTCCACTACACACAGAGAGCAGCTTGGCCCTGCTTCCGCTCCCTCCTGTCCTGGCTGTGATTGACAGCAGTGGGAGACAGTAGCTTTAAAATGCAAAGGCTAAGACAGGTCATACATGTGTAGGTTTTTCTCATTTAGCCCCCATGGGCTGAGCGGGAGAAATAACCTGCTTGCCTAGTCCATGCTAAACAGTGTTAATGGATGAATCTTCTTGTGTTCTGACAGCCGCTGCTCTGAATACCTGAACAGTGCCTGCATCTGATTGGTTGCAGTCACTGTTTGGCTGGTAAGTTTCCACCCAGCTACTGCGATTTTCAAGTTAAAGTTTGGGTGATTCTGCAGGAATTAGTCGAATATTTAGCCGAGTATTTCTAACATACAGGATATAGGAGCTGCCATTGACTTCTTGAAATTACCAGGTACCTGGCTGTTGTTCTGACCTGCTGTCTTCAAAACTGTCATCTGCATATGCAGCCCTTATCTGCATACAGTGACTCAAAATTTTGAACTGAGGGAGTCAGGATAGCAGACCGGCAACTAGCATTTTCGGAAGAAATCTACAATGGCAGACTTCCTGTCCCATATTACAGGTTTTGTTAAATTGTAGCTTTTTAGGACACTGCAAAAAAAAAAAAAAAAAACTAGATCCTGCCTGCTGGGCTGGCAAGTAAATGGGACCCATGCAGGGGGACATCAAAACAGATGATGAAGGGCACAGTGGCTAAATGATTAGAACTTTTGCCTGGCAACACAAGGCATATATACACACTGCTCAATAAAATTAAAGGAACACTTTGAAAACACATCAGATCTCAATGGGGAAAAATATCATGCTGGATATCTATACTGATGTGGACTGGGTAATGTGTTAGGAACATAAGGATGCCCCATCGTTTGATGGAAATGAAAATTATCAACCTACAGAGGACTGAATTCAAAGACACCCTGAAAGTCAAAGTGAAGCAATGATGCACCAGGCTAGTCCATTTTGCTGAAATTTCATTGCAGCAACTCAAAATGGTAGTTAGTAGTTTACATGGCCCCCACGTGCTTGTATGCATGGCTGACAACATCGGGGCATGCTCCTAATGAGACAGATGGTGTCCTGGGGTATTTCCTCCCAGATCTGGACCAGGGCATCACTGAGCTCCTGGGCAGTCTGAGGTGCAACCTGGCAGTGTTGGGTGAACTGAAACATGATATCCCAGAGGTGTTCTATTGGATTTAGGTCAGGCGAGTGTGAGGGCCATTTAATTATATCAATTCCTTCATCCTCCAGGAACTGCCTGCATACTCTCGCCATATGAAACCAGGCATTGTCGTGCACCAGGAGGAACCCAGGACCCACTGCACCAGCGTAGGGTCTGACAATGGTTCCAAGAAATTCACCCCGATACCTAATGGCAGTCAGGGTGCCATTGTCTAGCCTGTAGATGTCTGTGCATCCCTCCATGGATATGCCTCCCCTGACCATCACTGACCCACCACCAAAACAGTCAAGCTGAACAATGTTACAGGCAGCATAAAGTTCTCCATGGCTTTTCCAGACCCTTTCACGTCTGTCACATGTGCTCAGGCTGAACCTGCTATCATCTGTGAAAACCACAGGGCACCTGTGGTGGACCTGCCAATTCTGGTGTTCAATGGTAAATGCCAGTCGAGCTCTATGGTGCTGGGCAGTGAGCACAGGGCCAACTAGAGGACATCGGGCCCTCAGGCCACCCTCATGAAGTCTGTTTCTGATTGTTTGGTCAGAGAGATTCACACCAGTGGCCTGCTGGAGGTAATTTTGTAGGGTTCTGGCAGTGCTCATCCTGTTCCTCCTTGCACCAAGGAGCAGATACCGATCCTGCTGATGGGTTAAGGACCTTCTATGGCCCTGTCCAGCTCTAGAGTAACTGCCTGTCTCCTGGAATTTCCTCGATTCTCTTGAGACTGTGCTGGGAGACACAGCAAACCTTCTGGCAATGGCATGTATTGATGTGCCATCCTGGAGGAGGTGGACTGCCTGTGCAACCTCTGTAGGGTCCAGGTATCACCTCATGCTACCAATAGTGACACTGACCATAGCCAAATGTAAAACTAGTGAAAAACAGTCAAAAAAGATGAGTAGGGAAAGAAATGTCAGTGGCCTTCACCTGTAAAAGGAGATGAAAGAAAGAGTGTACAAACCTTGCACATTACCTCAATAAATAGTGACTAATTTTATTTTATTTAGGAAATATACTCACAAAAGTGATGGTAAAACAGGCATAAGTAAACCATAATCCATACAGGGTTACAGGTAAATCCAAAGGGGTGGGGGGATACAATCTAACGCGTTTCGAAGGGTGCTCCCTTCTTCATCAGAGCTGGGTTTGGCAGATAGAAACTTCAATATAGCAGAGTTCCCATAGCAAGGAGACATTCAGCCACTAAGTGTCAGTATTACAGCATTTCAGCCTGACTAAATCCTGTGTGGATTATGGTTTACTTATGCCTTTTTTACCATCAATTTGGTGAGTATATTTCCTAAATAAAGTAAAATTAGTCACTATTTATTGAGGTAATGTGCAAGGTTTGTGCGCTCTTTCTTTCATCTCCTTCTACAGTTTTGTCAAGCTTCCCCAGCTTCATGATGGAGCTGCACAGCTTCTGATCGCCAGCGGATGAACACGCTGTTTGTTTACTAATGCCCGTATATATATATATGTAAAGTGCTGCGTAAATTGATGGTGCTATATAAGTACCTGTAATAAATGTGAGGACAAGATGGCCATAAATCCCTACAGACCCTATCCCTATATTGATGCCCTGGATTTCCCAGCACCAAGGCCACAGCAATTGTTACATGGTGAAGAAGTGTCTCTTCATAATAGAAGTGGTCCAGACAAGGTCTAGTTTGTTGCTGCTGCTACATATGAAATTGCACTACTTTTTAAAATCTTGGCCCCAAAGGTGATGAGGCCCACTAGAGCAATTCCTGCACTTGTTTTTTAAGTGGAGAATTTGCTTTTCCTTGTACAACATGTTTATCACTGACCTTTTAGATGTTTTGGAAAAGGTTGATCAATAAAAATGTGCTGAAAGCATTCTTTCTGGTAAATCACTTACTTCCAAGCGAGTTCTGTCGGCATCTTTAGGCAGTCTATTCCTCCCTCTAGTGGTTACCATGAGTAATTCATACGGATAGATCTGTAAAAAAAAATCCGATAGCCACTGGTACAATATTGCTGAGTTACAATGAAAACCTCTTATGCAATGAATATTCAGATTTTGTTTTTTTTTTTCAGGAAATAAATGTCACTACAGAGATAAATGATGGCCCAGTTGTGGGTTGGCTGTGGCAGCTTGGAGCGGGACAAAATGTGCTCTGAGGTCTGTAGTAATTTTTGTTTATTTGCTCAAGGAGCTTATTTTAAAAAATAGTAAACTTTTCTTTTAAAGCTGAACTCCAGGTAGACATAAAACACATAGAAATATATAGTAATATATACATTCATTATTGCATTAATAAATATATTTTTTTAAAAGAGGCATTATTTTCTTTGTAAAGCCCTTTGAGAAGCTACCTTTATTTAATTTCATTTATATTATTTATATAGCACCATCAGTTTACACAGCGCTTTACACATATATATTGAACATTCACATCAGTCCCTAACCCTCAAGGGGTGTACAATCTAAGGTCCCTAACTCACATTCATACATACACATACTAGGGCCAATTTAGACAGGATCCAATTAACCTACCAGCATGTCTTTGGAATGTGGGAGGGAACTGGAGTACCTGGAGGAAACCCACACAGGCACAGGGAGAACATGCAAACTCCAGGAAGGTGGTGCTATGGTTGGGATTCAAACCAATGACCCTAGTGCTGCCAGGCAGAAGTGCTAACCATTTAGCCAATGTACTGCCCTTTAAAGGCACTATATAAAAAAAAAAATGTATTATTATTATTAGTATCTGAATCTGTCTTGGTAATAATAGCCTCTTGTAATCCCCTATATAGCAGAGCTCAAACTGGGAGAGGAAAACCATCAAGACATGCTAGGGTGATAGTATGTTAAAAAATAAAAATAAATAAATAATATAAAAAAAAAATAAAACTGTAAAAAAAAGTTTGAAAAATTTTGGTTATAAACTAATTTGGGTTATTTATTTTTTTTTACTAAAAAGATAGATGAATACATTTTGGCCACGATTTATGAAAAAAAGATTATTTATTTGCAAAGTTTTATAAGAAAAACACCTTTTTTTCAAAATGTTTGGAGTTTTTCATTTTTATAGCAAAAAATAAATACCACCAAAATAAAGTTTTATCTGCCTCAAAAAAATGCTAAAAAATTCATATGGGTACAGTGTTGCATAACCGCGCAATTGTCATTCAAAGTGTGATAGCACTGAAAGCTGAAAATTGGCCTGGACTGGAAGGGGGTGAAAATGTCTAGACTTGAAGTGGCTAATATCCTCGCACCAAAAAATAGTACATTTGGGATAGAGTAAACGTGTGCTGATATGGAGTCTGTAGTTGATTACCCTTCTTTATGAAAATGCCACCTGGCTGGTTCTTGTGCCTTCAATACTTTTGTGTGTCATTGATCTGGAACAAGTATGTAGCTCAGGAGTTCTGATTTCACTGGCTGTAAGTTTATTGTGGGTCAGTCAAGTATTCAAGCCAAACAAACGGGTGGGAAACATTTAAGTGTTTTGCCACTCTAAGAATTCCAGCAGCAGAAATCTACTCATTTCTATGGCTGGGATTGACAGCAGTGTGAAGATAGCAGTGGTCACCGAGCCCATACTCTGCAACGACAGGCTGTGGCTACAGCTATTTGTGCCTATTTAAGTGTTCTTGCAAGAACACTTATTGTTTTATTATTATTATTATTATTATTATTATTATACAGGATTTATATAGCGCCAACAGTTTGCTCAGCACTTTACAATATAAAGGGAGACAATACAGCAACAATACAGTTCAATACAAGAGGGATAGGAGGGCCCTGCTCCTTGGAGCTTACAATTTAGGAGGCCTATTCACTAGGCCAGCGATCATCGCTAAAAGCCTGTACGAATGCAGCCTTAAAGCAGAACTATACTTACCTTAGCTCCAGCGATGTGACGTCATGGAGCTCCCTGCCAGCCACTGACATCTTCTAGCAGCCGACTTCTAGGCATTGAGTGCCGGCCGCTTTCACTGCACGGGCCGATATGACGTCACTCCTATGCATGCACAGAAATGCAGTCAGCTTCATAATTTCTAGGGTGAGCTACGCATGAGCAGCACACTGTACAGGGGCAAACAGGCAGGTAGGTGATTTTAATGCAGACAAAGCATGTTCAAAATCCTGCCTGACCATTATTGTTATGTATATAAAATTCTGTATATTCTATATATTAAAACAGCTCCATGCTGAGACGGATGTGTTGGCTTCAATGTTATACTATTACTTGTTGTTTTTTAAATTTTTTGAAAAATTGTCAAATTCAATAAAAACTAACTGATCTAAAAAAAAAAAAAAATAGAAGAAGAATAATGACATTGTTTCAATAAGAGACACAATGGGCAGTAGTAATGGTGCAGGACTGAGAACCTATGTCCTGGAACTGTTCTGAAATCCAAGCTCAAAGGTCAACTTTCTGAGTGGATTAAACTATGTGATAGGATTTAACAAAACCTCTAATGTTCTTACCATTCAGTCTGAATTAATGCAGCTATCTTTGAATGTTTTTACATCTCATATGCTGCAGCAATGTAAGTCAGAGCAGTATGGTCCCATTGCTAAACTGGGGATCAGCTAAGTACATTACACAAAAAATAAACAAAACCTAATCGTATTCTTAGGCAAATCTTTTGTTTCTTTTTTTCAGTTTGGAGTAGAGATGAGAGAAGGATTAGAACCTCTGTCGGTTTTTCATAATGCATTGTAAAAGACCCAAAGTTCTGATCTTCCATTCTTACAGCTACATAGAAAGAGTTGGGAAAACTTGTTTTTGGAATAAAAAACAAAAAGAAAATCACACCGGGTAGCTATAGGATAAAATGTGTAAAGGGTATTTATTTATACACTCGCAAATATCCTGCAAGGGCAACAAACAAAAGACATTAGGGATCTTATCTTACCCAGACTGAACATCTTCCATGTAGCCATTGTGGACTGAAAGGTGTCAACCACAAGACCCACAGGCTGAATCCGACCCATCAGGCCATGAGGCCTTCACACCTCTCCTGCAGCTGCGGCACTACCTTCATCTCTACCCCCTACTTGTCCCAGCAGTCGGAACTCCTCCAGCAGATCCTGCGCTTCTCCGTGCAGCCACAGAGAGGCTCGTCTCTTGGCCCCCTTCTTTACCTGTCTCATCAGTTGGCAGCAGAGAGGATGACAGAATTCCTCTTACAGATCCTGCACCTCTCTGTGCAGCCACAACACTCCCTCATCTCAGCCTCCCCTGGTCTCAGCATTCAGCAGACCCCAGTAGCTGACTTCAGTCCTCCTCCAGACCCTACATTTTCTGCTTCCCAGCTCAGCCCCAAGCTTATCAGCACAAGGTATGGGGGGGTGCACTGCACTGTGATGTAAGGGAGGGTGGGAGACTATTGACTTCTGATGGTGGGGGGACTCTTGACATCTGATGTAAGGGGGGGTGGGAGACTATTGACTTCTGATCGTGCGGGGGGGGGGGGGGGGGGGGGGGGGGGGGGGGGGGGGGCTCTTGACATCTGATGTAAGGGGGGTGCTCTAGACATCTAGTCTTACACATACAACTGGTACTTTGAGGGCAACCATAATGCTGATGCGGCCCATGATGAAATTGAGTCTGACACCCCTGCTATAGGAGGATCATGACGAAAGAGGTCCTCTGGAGTTTTCAGGGCCCACTGATTTTCCTGTCATTGGCCATGTGCAGATTTGTTTCATCTAGGCAGGTACATCAGGCATCTTGCATGATCTTCATTAAAGGGTATGTATAACCAAACCTCTTTTTGTAGTCCTGTATTAGGCTAGGTTCACACCTGTGTGTTTTAGATTTGCAGAAACACACTACAGTCCATTTAACATGCTTTCCTATGGGTCAAGTTCACATCTATGCATTTTCAACTAGTGTGTTGTTTGGAAAGGGTCAGGGACTTTTTTGCCCACAGCAGGCTGCGTTTTTGGTTTCATAGACTTCAATAGAAATGCATCAGAAACGCATGAAAAATGCATGTATATGTGTTTTTGGTTTGTTTTCCTGCATGACAACAGACACCTTGCCTTAGCAATATTAACACATCCCAAAAACGCAAAACGCATCAAAAAGGGCATTAAAACACATCAAAATACGTGTGAATTATGTACACAGCACCACAAAACGCACAGGAAAAAATGTATTAACAGCAGTCTGCACAGGTGTGAAGCCTAAGATATAGTAAGATAGGGTTAGAAACCCTGTCAGGTTATTTTTTTTTTGCTGTCTGTGCGCCATTGGGGAAATTTCCCTTCACCTCCTGGCCCAGGGGCAGAGCAGGAAGTTAGATGTATTCTCCCAAAAATTGAGAATTGGTCTCTCATTTATACTTGTGGTTGAACCATGTTTTTACCGTGCCTCAACAGCTCCCCCTTAAGCTGCAAAGGCTGCGGACAGGGTGTCCACATGACACAGCCATGATGCTTTGCTTCAAGGCCACGGCAAGATTAATCCATCCTCTCATGCTCAGGGGATAGTACTTTCCACTGAACGTGACCCATTCACTTAAATGGGGCCATGACACAACCGCCCTGCACCTTGTGCAATGTGCGGTGTCTGTTAAACACCCTCTAAAGCAGTGGTTCTCAACCTTTCTAATGCCGCGACCCCTTAATACAGTTCCTCATGTTGTGGTGACCCCCAACCATAAAATTATTTTCATTGCTACTTCATAACTGTAATTTTGCAGTGGGAGGAGTAGTGCCATGTCATTGGTGTCAGTGGAAGGAGTAGTGCCCCATCACTGATGTCAGTGGGAGGAATAGTGCCCCATTGTTGGTATCAGTGGGAGGAATAGTGCCCCATCGTTGGTGTCAGTGGGAGGAATAGTGCCCCATCGCTGGTGTCAGTGGGATGAATAGTGCCCCATCGCTGGTGTCAGTGGGATGAATAGTGCCCCATCGCTGGTGTCAGTGGGAGGAATAGTGCCCCATCGCTGGTGTCAGTGGGAGGAATAGTGCCCCATCGCTGGTGTCAGTGGGAGGAATAGTGCCCCATCGCTGGTGTCAGTGGGAGGAATAGTGCCCCATCGCTGGTGTCAGTGGAGGAATAGTGCCCCATCGCTGGTGTCAGTGGGAGGAATAGTGCCCCATCGCTGGTGTCAGTGGGAGGAATAGTGCCCCATCGTTGGTGTCAGTGGGAGGAATAGTGCCCCATCGTTGGTGTCAGTGGGAGGAATAGTGCCCCATCGTTGGTGTCAGTGGGAGGAATAGTGCCCCATCGTTGGTGTCAGTGGGAGGAATAGTGCCCCATCGTTGGTGTCAGTGGGGAGGAATAGTGCCCCATCGTTGGTGTCAGTGGGAGGAATAGTGCCCCATCGTTGGTGTCAGTGGGAGGAATAGTGCCCCATCGTTGGTGTCAGTGGGAGGAATAGTGCCCCATCGTTGGTGTCAGTGGGAGGAATAGTGCCCCATCGTTGGTGTCAGTGGGAGGAATAGTGCCCCATCGTTGGTGTCAGTGGGAGGAATAGTGCCCCATCGTTGGTGTCAGTGGGAGGAATAGTGCCCCATCGTTGGTGTCAGTGTGGTGGAGGGGAGAATAGTGCCCCATCGTTGGGGTCAGGGGGGGGGGGGAAATAGTGCCCCATCGTTGGTGTCAGTGGGGGGAGGAATAGTGCCCCATCATTGGTGTCAGTGGGAGGAATAGTGCCCCATCATTGGTGTCAGTGTGGTGGAGGGAGAATAGTGCCCCCCATCGTTGGGGTCAGGGGGGGGGGGGAAATAGTGTCCCATCGTTGGTGTCAGTGGGGGGGAGGAATAGTGCCCCATCATTGGTGTCAGTGGGGAGGAATAGTGCCCCATCATTGGTGTCAGTGTGGTGGAGGGGAGAATAGTGCCCCATCGTTGGGGTCAGGGGGGGGGGGAAAATAGTGCCCCATCGTTGGTGTCAGTGGGGGGAAGAAAAGGGCCCCATCGTTGGTGTCAGTGAGGGGAAGAATAGTGCCCCATCGTTGGTGTCAGTGGGGGGAGGAATACTGCCCCATCGTTGGTGTCAGTGGGGGGAGGAATACTGCCCCATCGTTGGTGTCAGTGGGGGGAGGAATACTGCCCCATCGTTGGTGTCAGTGGGGGGGAGGAATACTGCCCCATCGTTGGTGTCAGTGGGGGGAGGAATACTGCCCCATCGTTGGTGTCAGTGGGGGGAGGAATACTGCCCCATCGTTGGTGTCAGTGGGGGGAGGAATACTGCCCCATCGTTGGTGTCAGTGGGGGGGAGGAATACTGCCCCATCGTTGGTGTCAGTGGGGGGAGGAATACTGCCCCATCGTTGGTGTCAGTGGGGGGAGGAATACTGCCCCATCGTTGGTGTCAGTGGGGGGAGGAATACTGCCCCATCGTTGGTGTCAGTGGGGGAGGAATACTGCCCCATCGTTGGTGTCAGTGGGGGGAGGAATACTGCCCCATCGTTGGTGTCAGTGGGGGGGAGGAATACTGCCCCATCGTTGGTGTCAGTGGGGGGAGGAATACTGCCCCATCGTTGGTGTCAGTGGGGGGAAAAATACTGCCCCATCGTTGGTGTCAGTGGGGGGAGGAATACTGCCCCATCGTTGGTGTCAGTGGGGGGAGGAATAGTGCCCCATCGTTGGTGTCAGTGGGGGGAGAGGAATAGTGCCCCATCGTTGGTGTCAGTGGGGGGAGGAATAGTGCCCCATCGTTGGTGTCAGTGGGGGGAGGAATAGTGACCCATCGTTGGTGTCAGTGGGGGGGAGGAATAGTGACCCATCGTTGGTGTCAGTGGGGGGAGGAATAGTGCCCCATCGTTGGTGTCAGTGGGGGGAGGAGTAGTGCCCCATCGTTGGTGTCAGTGGGGGGAGGAGTAGTGCCCCATCGTTGGTGTCAGTGGGGGGAGGAGTAGTGCCCCATCGTTGGTATTAGTGACACAAATGATGGGGCACTATTCCTCCCACTGACACCAATGATACTTACCTTGCTGACCCCTGCTCCAGCCTGGGCTCGCTCTCTCACTTACCTGTCAGCTGTCTTCCTTCTCTGGCCGCTCTCCTCTTCACTCGCTCCCTCGGTCTTCTTTGATGTACGCGCGCTGCCGCTGGCTCCTCCTCTCCAAGCTCCACCTCCTCGCCGGTGATTGGCCGCCTGTGTGCCTCTCCTGAGCTACAGTTCCGGGTGGCCAATCAGCGGCGAGGAAGCTGCTGAGCGATCTTGGAGGTGTGGCCGGGTGACAGCAGCGTATCATCCCGCCCACACATCGCCGGAGAGACTGCAGCGGTGTCTCGGTTCCTAAGACCATCGGAAATATGTGTTTTTCCGATGGTCTTAGGCGACCCCTGGGAAATGGTCGTTCGACCCCCAAAGGGGTCGCGACCCCCAGGTTGAGAACCGCTGGACTAGAAGATAAAAGTTTACCTCTACCTACCTGGAGATAGCTCTAAAATGTTACAATTCTCATCACTTTCTTTCTTGGTGATAATGTCCAGTACAAATAGAGGGGTGAACCTCCCCATCGGGGATACAGGCAGCAATAAAAGCTTGACAAATTGTCTCATTTTTTCCCCACGTATCCAAAATTTAAAAAAATGGTTCTGTCTAGAGATATGCTTTAAAGCTGTATTCTGGACAAAAACAATATTTGGGTACATGCACTGTAAAAGTAAATTAGCACTAATAGTACTATAGTAAGCACTCAGATTTACACTTCTGACTGTGGTATGGCTTTATTAGCTGGTCGCTTGCTTTGCACTTCTTCCTTCCAGCATGCAAGATTTTCTGTGAATGGAGGAGGTATGGGTGAACATCACGATCTCCCATCCTCAAATCACAAAACATTCTGTGAAAAAAAAAATACAAGGCGTTTACTGAATGGGCAAGGTGCAGAGCAAGAGACCCAATATCAGAGCTATAGTCGAGTTGGAAGTGTAAATCTCAGCGATGGAGGTTTGGCTGTAAGGGGTGAATGAAAGTTACAATTTTATACAACACTGCAACCTACACACATGGCACACACTTCACTAATTCTATTTTATTTTTACAGTGCACGTGTCTAAGTATTGTTTTTGGCTGTAATTCAGCTTTAATTTTAACTACAACAACACTGTGCTTCTGTGTCTTTTTCTAGGATTAGTTTATCCAAGCTTGAAAACACTCTTGCTACTGTTTCTGTCAGGATTGTGAAAGACTGAGCCACATTCTCCAGCCTAGTAAACACCACTGCTCTGCAGGTGCTATTTTATAAATCTTCTATTGGAAAGGAAGCTCTGGCATACAAGCACTGAAAAAGTATATAGTGGGGTTCTGGATTCTAAGTGAATTCTCTTATCCATTGAAAATCTTAACCTATTAACTGCAAAGATAAAATGTTCAGATAGCCTGCAGAGTAATTTGACGTGGGTGGTTGAAACGGTATTGATTTCCATTAAAGATATAGTGAAAGTCCTTGGAACTATGGTTGATTGCACATTAAAAAGCAGATTCCTCCAGAGTTACATAACCTGTCACAGTAACAGCTCTTCTATTCATAAAGCAATTGTGAGTCTTCTCACCTTGTACTCTGCAAAACAGAAAATAGAAGAAGACAGGTAAAAACAAATCCTGCTGATACTTCTTAGTGTTGAACAATATTGTAATGGCAAAATGCAGAATACTTAAAGCGGTTAGAAGCCTGAGTTTTACACTTGTGCGGTGCAGCATATCGCATGTGATTCGCACAGGAACCGCACTGCATTCCTGTGCAAATCACATGCGAATTCTGTGCGGTGCAATTTGGGCCATACGGTTTGTTAACTTAACCTCTTGGCGCTGGCCGAATGCAAATGTGCGGCCTCCCGGTGTCTGGGCCTAGACGCCGAGCGACCGCACATTTACATTCTATTAAAAAAAACATATGTGCTGAGAGTGTGTGCCCTGTGCGCTCCCAGCACACACGTTTGGTACTCATGGAAAGGTCCCGATCTCCTCTTGCGATCGAGACCTTTCCCGACCATGTGACCGTCGTTAGAGCGAATCATGGCAGTCACATCACCCTAAAACCCAGCCCGCCTCCTAGCTTCTGGAACCCTTAAATAGCCAGGAGGCGCCAGCCCCAAGGGGTTAACATACACACCCACAGTGGTTCGCATGAACGGTCGGCAATTGTGATGCGGTGCGGAATTCGCACAGAAACCGCTGCAAATTCCGCACCGCATCAGTGTGAACCCAGGCTAAAGGCTGAAGTTTTTGTCTAATGCATTCTCTGCAGTAGGTAAAAAAAAAACCTTCTGTGAGCAGCCCCCCAGCCCCCCTTAAATATTTACCTTACCCATCTCGATCCAGTGCTGTGCCCTAGACCACTGCTCTCTCTCTCCGTCCTCACTGGTCTTAGTTAGAGCAGCGGGAACCATTGGCTCTTGCTGCTGTCAATCAAATCCATTGATGAGTAAGCAAGGGGCAGGGGCCTTGCTGCACTTTCTGTGTTAAATTTCAATCATTAATCATAACATGCGGTGGTATAGGACAATAAAGTGATAAAAATGCGCAGGGCTTCAAAATTGGGCTTTAAGTATTTTGCTTTATCATTGCTAGCATTTTTCAGACATTAGAAAAAATATAACATGAAAAATGATTATATATAAGCTGATGTTTATCACTTTTTTTGTAACATGTAAACGTACCTCTCATTCCCCAGTTCACTGCATTGGCACTATCATAGTGGAAGAGTTCCGTGCTTGGCGGCTGTAAGAAATACCATGGGATGATCAAAATGAATAGGGTACACAGAAGAAACATGGACCACACATAAAATGCAGTGTGTACTGACTAATACATATGTTTAAAGTGTCATTAAAGTGTATGTCTAGCCAAAACATTTTTGATTTGTTAAAAACCATAATTTAATCAATCTATATCGTAATCCATTGTCTGACACAATCATTCAGAAATTACTATTGAAATTTTGACACAGTCAATCAACTTGCCAGTATTCATTGAAACCTATCTAAAGATCATTAAATCGATCTATTGAATGATGATGTCGATACAGGTATGGCCACCTTAAAATCAACAAAGGGAACCGCTAATAAGTTTGCTGATATTGGCATCAATATTGTATTACAGCTCCAACTGTAATACAATACTGTACATATACCCATTGAAGTGACTGGCCTCAGGAGATACACAGCGATTAAACAAATCCTCTTACATAAGTTGTACCTGTCTATCTACATCCATCTTTCCCCTACATCCATTCAAAGTGGAGAACTGAAGTTACAACAGTGAGGAGAGCTCTGAGAGCTGATGGCTGTCAATCCGCTAGTGGAATGAGGCAGTAGAAAGAAATAACACTTAGAGCTATGGATTGAGACAAACACACACTATAGAGGGATATGCTTTGTTCATATTTCATGTCTGAGATTAACAACCACTTGTGGCTTCTAATAACTTCTCCCATTATAATGTAGTGCTACCCTCCCAAAAGTCCCGCTAAGGTTTTTTTTGGCTCCCCCCTAAACTCTGCACAACCAGGCAACATGCATTTTCCAACACTCTCACCTGAGGTCGGTAAACCAGTCCTTGAGCTTGGTTTAGTTAGATTTATTAGGGGTTAACAACATGGGTGGGGTCTAGGGATATATAGGATGCCCAATGACCTGTACAACTTTGAGGACGAACCTCTCAGGAAAAATGGATAAATATAAGCAAACAGTCTCTGTAAGGAGCACTGTGTCACCTTCTGTAAATCTCCTCAGACCCCAGATGAAAATCTTCTTATCCACCGGCTCTCCTGAAGATGTCCCTGAGCAGTCTTTCCTAGGCTGTCTTTCCTAGTAGACTGTGTGACAGTGAAGATCCTTCTTTTCAACTTTAGCCTGTAGGTAGACCCCCCTCCACTGGGGCCCCTTCCCAGGCTCCAAACACCAGCACTTTCCTAAACTCCATATTCCACCAGACTCCTCTGCTGTACAGGCTCTCCTATATTTAAGGGCTGCCCTAGTCACCATACCAGGCCTCCTACCTGGGGATTGGCCAGGTTCCCTCATATATGCAAATCCAGGCCTCCTCCCCTCTTCTAGAAAGTGTCCGAGCTTTCTAGAAAGGTGGAAAGGCTCCAGAAGCCCTGACCTGTATAGCCTCCCATCCTGCACTGAGGTACCATCACTGCCTCGCTTCCAGGCTGACTCATCCCAGGCTTCTAGCAAGCCTCTAACAGACAAAAATCCTGTCTAAACTGGAGGGGGCTACATCAAAAACAAAATAAATGGCCTTATTTAATCTGGGGCCTTTGGGAATGGGTTGGTTTGCCATTTAAACTGTGTCTCTGGCACAGAAGCAAACAAGTTAAGGGGCGTGGACAAAAAAAAAACAACATTTTTAATCTGGCAAAGGATGCATTGGTCCATCACTCGACTTTAGTACAACCAGCATGTTGGATTGTTTGGATGTGATTGATGGCAGCAGCTATAGCGCTATCAGTAATCATTTTGTTTTGCAGGCCAGGAAGGCTCCCCACGCCCCTACCCCCCCTGCCAACAGAACACAATAGCTTTGCGAGGGGATTCCTCCATCAACACTGACTGTGTTTATGGGGGAATCAGTAGATTGACTTCAGTGGAAATTTGTCTGACTTCAGTGAAATTTGTCTGGTTCCCGCTGAACTGGCTGAATTTTGATCTGTCTATGACTGGCTTTAAGCTATAGTGCACCACTTTTAATCATCAGACAGGCCCTGTCCACAAGTCACATCCAGTTCAGAACAATGCCTCTATTGCACTGAGGCTGCCACCTCCTGACTCTGTCCGTGACAGACAGGCAGAGCTTGGAACTCAGGGACATTGACCTTGTGGATATTCTCCAAGTAATTCTGGTGAGTGCTTCAACCTCCTGGCATTTGCTTTGCATGGCCCTGAACACTAGTAAATATTTTCCATAGTTCTAATTTTACATGTATTTCTTTTACAGTACCCTGTGAAGACCATTCCTTCTGTATGCTGGGAGTGAGGCAGACTTGTTGATTAAAGGATCTAGGAAATACACAAAAAATATTTTAAATGTACAGTACAAGTTAATGTCAGGAGATATTACACGTCTTCCCTAAAACCTGTGAAAATGTTATTTCCTTGAACAAAAGGATGTGTCAACTGGATAATGTTACCAATGATTATAAAAGGTAACTGGAGGTCTCACACCTCAAAGCCATTACAAAAGGTGATAGTGTGGACTGGAAAAGTTAATCAAATCCACTTTGTTTTTAATGGAACTATTCTTCACGACTGTAAATAACTTTGCAGAATGGAAGAATATGTTTCCATTTCCATAAAAAAAGTAGCTTAGTGCAAAGGGATTAATGGATAGCTGTACTTACCACTGTCAGCCAGGTAGCACTTGTTGGGAGCTAGAAAATAAAACACGAACCCAGATTTATTTATGGGCATCAACAGTTTCTGGAGAGTAATATGGAGGTGGTTTAAAATGAACAGAATAAAATCCAAATAAATACAAATGTCTTCATAATTTCTAAATTTCTTATTAATGTGGTGCTGCAAATGAAGCTTGCCAAGTCAGACTTGAAGAACTTCATTACAGTTGTTTATTAACCTGTGTGAGTTCCACTGCTCATTGCAGGGTCTGTTTCTAAGCATTACTTATTAATTATTTGATAAGCTCCAAATGTTAATGCCTAAGTCTAGGTTTTAGTGAACTTGAAATACTTTGGACTGGACAAACTTATAAAAGTTGACTGAAACCTGGAGTTAGGCTTTAAGAGTCCTGTCCATATGGAAGATGTGCACATATGGGCTGTGATCTCATATTATTGGTTCTGACAGATCCCCTTCCAGAACCAATACAACTGCCTGGCAGAAAGTCATTACACAATGGAAGGTCTATGTAATACAAATGATCTGGGGAGTGCTTTATAACCTATAGTTTAGACTGGTATTTGGTAGCAGTGGCACAAAAGCTGGTGTATCTAAGGCCATGGAGTTGATTTAAGGCAAATGAGTTGTTTACTTTGCAAGGGAAGCAGCACTTTGGCAAGAGCTTAGTGAATGTGTTGAAATGTCACTTTGCAAAAAAACACCCAATCAAATGCAAGGCTGCATAGCCAATCAAATGAATTTGTTCACTAGGCTATAAAATGTCTCTGCAAAACGTCATCTAAGCGTCACAACAATAGAAGAACACACAGTCTGCTGAACATAATAACTACACAAGCCACATTCATGCTAGTTGTTGGGTAAATTATTGTGAAAACCTTTGACTTAAATCACTGGCGTTTACAACCCTCCTTTGGCACAATAACCTCAACCAAAAAAAAAAAAAAACAGCAGCATTTTTGCTTGCACTTGATTGGTTGAAGAAATTCAACAGAGCTTCTCCTCATTCACTAAGCTCTGGGGAAAATTCTCTTGCAAAGCTCAACTTCACTTGCAAAGGGAACATTCTATTTGCCCTTAGTAAACCAATCCCCATGTGTGGGCTGATGTAAGAAGTTGTAGTCATTACAAATGTAGTTTTGCTAATTTAGTCCCTAGCCTGCACATTTGGAGCCTAATTTACAGAGAATATACATCCTCTCAATCTCAGGCAATATATGTGGCATATATTTGTATCCTGGCTCAACACTACATGTATATGAATTCTCTAAAGTCTAAAGCAGACCATAGCTGTTACAATCTGCATATAAAATCTCCTACATGTAAGGCAAAGAGCTGCATAGCCATCTCATATGATTTGTATTCAGTTAGGCAGGCCTTTGCACTTCTTAGTTGTTGGTAAATCTAAAAGAAATTGTAAAATCATATTATACAGTGTATTCAAAATCAGGTAAACTGGAAAGGAGAGGGCTTAGCATTGTCCCAAAAGAAAGAAATCTTTACATTTCATATTCTCCTTGAATTTAGATGCATTATCACTCTACTTATACAACAACTGTGATTATAATTGTAAGTATTTATTATCTATTGACAAGGACAGGGAGTTCTCTTTCTTTTAAGTTGGGTTCTCCTTTAACATTATATAGGTCAGTCAGGTGCCTTAATTAAAAAGTGAAATGTGCTAGAAACAATTCTCAGACTTTATCCCAAAAAGTGTTCTCATAATATATAGTATATTAAGAAAAAAATGTTGTAGGGTAAAATCTAAGTAATGCATTGCCCCTTTTCAGTTTGTTAATCTTTGATATTTAAAGCAGTAATGTAGTAAGGCTGATACATATAACTGATATATATACCTCATAATAACTGTTAATCATCAAAAACTTGCAGACTACTGACAGCATTTTCTTTCTGGACCTGCAAGTCACTCTAGATGGGCTGTTCTTTTACCAATGGATCACCCAAGGGGCACTGCCATTACTTTCCACTTCATGTCAAGAAGGTAGCATACGCACCTAGTGGTGGGGATGTCCCCCTATAGTGCAGCCTTTGGATAATACAAAGTAAACTGTCAGTTGGGTTCAGTGTTAGTGTGGGTGAAGGTTAAGGGCACACTTTGGAGAAGTATTAAGGGACACTTAGTTTAAGATGGTGTTATTTGCTAAGGGACAGTTGTTGAAGGGTTGGTTAACATGTTGAGAGCTGTTTTAAAGGTTTTGGGCATGTCTGTGCTGATTCTTACTTGCTCTGTTCCTCATGAAAGTGGTAGAGGGAGAAACCCCTAGGCATATCAAACAGAGCTCAATTGACTTGAAGCACCATTTCAATATCCCCATCCATGTAATGTGCCAGTGCTGACACTTACGTAGGCTATACGAATGTGGCACTATGGAGGCAAAAACTGAGTATAATAAAATGTCCTTAACACAGGCAAAATTTAATTTTTGTTCCGGAAACACTAATCAATTTAAAAGTGATTCCTGCAACCTGTATTCAGAAAAGTATTTCTTATCCTGAACGTATTTGGCTACATTCCAAGTCCCTGTGTGGTCTTTGTGTGCTAGTAACATAGATCACTCTCTAAGACTCCTTCATTTCATTTAGAAGAAGGGATCTGAGTGAAGTATCCTCCACTAGTATTGTCCCTAGACACCTATACATATGCTAGGAATGCTTTAATGTGCATCTTGGTTGACACTTACATCCATTAAGAGAAGCATCATAACCAGCAGTGTGTAGAGCCTCTTTACTGCCCGCTGAACTGCGTGGCGGTGTCCAGGGGTCCGCATACGACCGAGCTTTCATCTCCTCCTTTAATATCATTCTTCCAATGCTGCCCTGGAGCTAAAATATAACATTCAAGTTATTTTCAGTCACTGTCTTGAGATATGTCAGCCACAAACAGCTACTGGAATCAATCTAATTGGGGATACAGTATAATGAATAAAATTCACTAAAACAAGTAAATATGCTCCTAATCAACTTCTCTTTCCATTTAAATGTCCCCTTTATTGACCATGTGTGACAACCCCTCTATGGTGATATCAAGTCTTACCAGATTTCAGCAATAATACAATAACTAGCTTTTACACGTAAGGATATTAGTTTATTAGTTTACTTTGGTATGTTTTTTTTCTGACAAATGACTACCTTGAAATAAAACACTCCAGTCATACTTTATAAAAAGGGTCTACAACACAAACTGAGGAATTCATAAATGGTGTAGACATCCTTTAGAATTTTGTTCGGGAGCAGCTAAATGTGACAGTGCTTGTGCTCAATTCATGAATCTGTCTGTATCTGCACTGAGGAAGGAGTGTCCACACTGGACACTGGTGGTAATTCTTTCAGAATCTGTCGCAGCCATAATGACAGAACTGGTGCAAGGCTTTTATTAATTAGGGGCAGGCCATATAAAGGGGTCATACTGCCATAAACGTGATGTTACTGCTTTATTGAATTCCCCTGATATTATCTTAATTTCAATGTTTTTTATACACATTTGAGAAATGCTAAATGTAAAGATCAAGATAATATGTCTAGCTTGATGTGGAGGGCATGCATTGATGGGCATTTCCACATGAAGCTGGACAGGTTACACTGACCTACACTCATCGGCCACTTTATTAGGTACATCTGTTCATTTGGTTGATAACACAAATTGGTAATCAGCCAATCACAAGGTAGAAACTTAATGCGTTTAGGCATGTAGACATGGTGAAGATGAATTGCTGAAGTTCAAACTGAGCATCAGAGTGGGGGAAGAAAGGAGATTTAAGTGACTTTAAATGTGGCATGGTTGTTGGTGCGAGACGGGCTGGTCTGAGTATTTCAAATACTGCTGATCTACTGGGATTTTCACGCACAAACATCTCTATGGTTTACAGAGAATGGTCCAATAAAGAGAAAATATCCAGTGAGCAGCAGTTGTGTGGATGATAGTGCCTTGATGATACCAGAGGTAACAGGAGAATGGGAAGACTGGTTGCTGTGACATTTAGATGGTAGGGTCAGAATTTGGGGTAAACAACATGAAATCATGGATCTATCCTGTCTTTTATCAATGGTTCAGGCTGGTGGTGGTGGTGTAATGTTGTGGGGGATATTTTCTTGGAACTAGCAAGGTGTACCTAAAAAGTGGCTGGTGAGTGACCTTTATCATTATTATTATTTTTAGTAGTAGTATTTTGACCCGTATTTCCCACTGCTGGAGGTAGTATTATCTGTTTTGATCATAAGTCTATTACGTACCCCGCCATATGGGTTCTCCTTAAGATGCAAGGAATATTGGGTGTTTTACACCATTAATCCATAAGGAGCTGAACTAGTTAAACTCCCTGCTTGCAAATAATGTTCTTTAAGTCTCATCATAATACAGTTTTCAATTTCTACTTTGGATATATCTTGAAACTCCATTGATGTTGAACTCTTTATAAATATCTAGTACTACACAAGACTCCTTGGATGTGACTCCACATTCGCCCAAGTCGAAACCTCTCATTGTAGACTTTTTCACTTGGGTATCCTATGGCCATGTTTTTAATATTTGATCTCCCACATCTCCTACTCCCCTGATGAAATGCTTTACTCCACGAAACATGTTGAGGAATTCTGAATCCCCTTACAGCTCCTATAGGAGCCCTGGTCTAAAGACAAAAATGCATTTTATCCAGTTTGACCAGTGGTAGGTTTAAAATTATCAGCACTATACTTAACAAAAAAAAGTATGGAAATGTGTTCTGGCCCTAGAGTTTTATTGATTGTTATAATGCTGGCAGCTGGCCTGCCCGCACCATGTCGATGCATGATGCTGATCCAGGGCAAACTTCGTCCTGTAATTATGGCACCCCAGGGGAAACCAACTGGCACCCTAGGATGCTGTGGTACCCTGGTTGAGAAATATTGCTCTATATGATGTGTATTTCAGTAAAATTACACATTACATAGATGGGAAATCTTAAGTCATGTTCTGGTTTTTGATCCTTCTTTGTCAAATCAGTAGACTGTGAGTGGGTAGGTGACAATTCTGTTTTGCTTAACTACAGTGGAAAACGTGATATCACCAACTTAACTATGCTTTCTGGCTGGGGGGGGGTGCCTGAATCATAAGACTGACTACCTAGAGTTACAAATCCTTTGGCAGACTAATTAAATATTCCCATAGCATCTTGAATTTCAGTAGAGTAGATAGTCTATTGTAACTCCCTTCTCATTGGCCGACCTTTACACAGGCTATCCCCGCTACAGATAATCATGAATGCTGCTGTAAGACTCATCCACCTTACAAACTGCTTAGCATCCACCAATCCCTCCATTTGCTGCTGCTAGCCCAATTAATAGAATTTAAAATATTAAAAACAACATCCACAATTCTGCCCCCAGCTACATCACTAAACTCATTGCAAAATATCACCCAATTTGTCCTCTTTGCTCTGCCCAAGGTGTCATTTGTCACCTCTTCTCATGCTCACCTGCAGGACTTCTCCAGAGCCTCTCCCATCATCTGGAACTCCTTATCCCAATCTGTCTGGGCAATCTCTAACTCTGTCTGCATTTATGTCATCCATGAAAACCCATCTCTTCAAGGAAGTCTATCCTGCCACCACCTAAAAACTGATCCTGCATTTTTTCTATCAGCTCATCCCTCACAGATATTACCTTTTATATCACTTGCCCCTACCTTTTAGAGTGTAAGCTCTTAACCTTGTATTGTATCGTATTGTTAATGTACTGTCCTCTTTTATTTTGCAAAACACTGAGAAAACTGTTGGCACAATATAAATCCTGTAATATAATAATAATATTAACAATGTGTGACAGAAGGTGGTAAATATCTGCAACAGCATGTGTTGAAATCCTTGTGATACATAATGTTGAATTGCAGGAAATTCTTTTCTCAACATAACTACAGTCTCACCTTGAATGAAGACCTGTTCAGATTTAAAAGTACCTTCTCATCTACTCAGACAGTGTATTACAAAACAGCTTTGGTGTTGATCTTTGTTTAGAGAAGGCAAAGTGGATAAAATAGAGAACATCTCCATGGGAATAAAGAACAAATAAAGACTTCTTATACACTGACTACAGTGCAAAATGCTGAAATTTCTCCTTTTAACTCTGAAGGTACCTTGTGCATGCTGCGATCAAAACCATCTTCCTCTCCTCCTGAAGAGAATCTCCGCGCTCGAGGCACTGCAGAACCAAAGACTTAGTGTCAGTGAAGCCTTTATTGTTGTCTTGTTTTTGCATGATACAGAACAATAGTATGACTGAGAGAGCAGTGACTTGCAGGCATTGTCAAGAAGACAACAGCTCCAGGCAGTCCCAGTCATAACAAAGGATAGTAATAGTTTGTTCCCGTGATTGCAGTAAGGTTTTGATTTTTTAAATTTTTGATGGTGTTTTGACACAGAAGGGAAAACGGTTGGTTCCCAAACCTATATATCTACCTGCAATTATGCACTGTTTAGTCCATTTTTAGATACATTATTTAAAGAAGATTTCTACAAAGCACCATCACCAGACTATTTATACAACCTCAATGCAAATGCAAAAGGAAAACACTAGCTTACTGTTTATGGGTTTATTATGCCCGTCAAACATCCAGGCACATGACAGTATTGAAAAAAATTTAAATAGAACTTGTATGCAATCACACCTCACTGGGGACAGGCACATCATTTTTAATGTGTTTAGACTATAGTAGATCAAACCATAGAAATACAAAAAGAAGCACCAAAAATGGATGACAGAGTCTAAGATAATTTTAATTGTAGGTAAACGGATAATAAAAACATCTCTATTGCATAGAGCTCTATTGTTGCTCAGAAATTGTTACCGTCTATGACGGTGGTCTCCAAACTGTGGCCCGTGGCCTGGATGTGGCCCTTTTGATTGCCTTTATATGGCTGAGAACAACAATGAGGCACCATTCCTTCCTCAAACACCAACAGTGGGGTACTAATCACCCCACTGACATCAATGATGGGGCAGTATGTCTCCCAATGACACCAATGGTGGAGCACTTTTCCTCCCACTAATAACAATGATGGGGCACTATTTATCCTCCTAATTACTACAGGCACAATGTAGTTTTGTTACTCTCGTCCACCAAGCCTGAGGCATTGGTTCTCCCACTGACACAGGGGCATTTTCTACTTCTGCCCCCTAAAGTCTAAAGAACAATAAACTGGCATTGTTCATAATGTTTGGAGACCCCTGATCTATGAGAGTTTAATACTGGTTCTTCTATAGATCTGTGAGGCCACTGTTTTCTTTAAGTCCATCTAAAGTTATCCTATGTTGAGCCCTGATGAAAGGAGAGTGGTGTTGAACTGAAACACATTTGAGGTGTTTATGACCTATTTACCAAACAATTACAATGATCTTAAATGTTCATTCATTTTAGGGTTGGCACTCCTTTCGATACTTCTGTGATTAGAGCTACTGTTGGGTGCCCACTGTGGTAAGCCTTTGCACACACTAGTTTGAAAGTTCCCAGCGCCTTTTTAAATATGGAGACTATAGTAGATGGCAGGCTTGTTTTTCTCCCAATGCAAGAAAGAGAAGTTTAAAGTGGTTGTGAACCCTTAGATATACGTGACTGGCCGCGATACAGAGAGATTAAAGAAATCCTCCTACATAAGTTGTACCTATCTAACTGCAGTCTGCTCTTCTCTACATCCATTGAAAGTGCTGAATTTACAAAGCCGTCAAAAAAGGGGGCAGAGAGCTGAAGTTACGCAGTGCAGAGCTCAGTGAGGAGAGCTCTGAGAGCTGATTGGAGTGAAGGGACACACCCCTCTCCACACAGCAAACAGGTCACCATTTTTCTCTTGGAGTCAGGAAAACTTGTCAGAAGTGATTCATGCTAATAACAGAGGAACAAAGCAGCAGACAGAAATTACACTTAGCGCTCCTAATTGAGACAAGTACACACTATAGAGGGATATGCTTTGTTCATATTTTATGTTCGAGGTTTACAACCACTTTAAGTAATTTATTTCTTTAGACTAAGTAGGAATGTTTTAGAACCTTTGTCTGTGTTTTATTGTTGTTTTTGTCCCTGTTAGAGACTATCTTATCCTCAGTATTTGCTCTGGTGACCTTTGTCATCAGGATAGAATCTGGTGGGAGTCAAAAATTTTCACTGAAACATTACATGAAGGTGAAATATTCCAGGAGGGAGAGGACGTCCCTCCCAGTGACAACTGTCAGAGATGGAGGTTCACCTGATTTTCATTTACATCCTGTTTTGGCTCAGAGGACAGGAAGTGAAGAGATATCTCCCCAAATGGGGCAATAAAAACCCAATGAGGTTCTAACCATACTCTATCCAAAATACCAAATTCAATCCTACACCACTGAGATGTTGTAGTGAAATATTACTCACTTTTTGGTGAGTACATCCAATACTCGGGCTCAGACTGGTAATAAGGATCAGGACTGTATGGAGGGAGGTACTTGGAGGACTGTACAAGGTCTTCACTTGTTTTACTTTTCGTTGCTTCATCGGGATCATCTGGAAAAAGATACAGACCAAGTGAAGTGTCTGAAAAGCTTTCGGTGTTCCAGTATGATACAAGCTTAGCAAATAAAGTTATAATAAGATACCTCATCCATTCTCAGTATTGACCTCTGTTTCTCCCTAAACCAATAACGCTGTCTGAAAATGCAATAACACATTCCCAATTCTGCTTCTAAAACAAATTATCTTCTATAAAGTGTCAAATCTAATAATGCTTTGCCTTCTAACATAATCTTTCTAACTATGATCACAGATCATAATAAAGAAAAATACCCCTTTAGGCATATTAGTAGTACCATACAGCCACATTTAGAATATTGCCTCTGCAGCAAATTCTCTTCTAATTATAAAATAGATCACTGTACTGCTCATGAAAAGGCACAGATGACGGATTATAATTACATAAATAAACCACTGACATACCTCTTACGTTATACGCTCACTGGGATTTAATTATATTAACATTATAGGTTTAATGGGATTTAATTATGACGCCTTGGAATGAATGCTTTAGTTTACATTACTGTTAAAATAGTTCTAATGCATGTAAGGTGTTATTTAAAGTACCAGTCCACCCAAAATTGATGTCTTAGTTGTAGGTGAAGTCTGATCGGCTGAGTCTATGCCTTACTTCATATATGTCCTAGATGTTCCAACATTAAGATCACCCTACCATAATTCCCCACCTCTGTCCTGTTTTTGCCCACCTAGGAATTTGCATGTCAGAAAGTCAGAGACAAATCAGAAGTCCTTATCTGCATCTGGTTTTAGGTTAGAGATTGTAAGAGCCCAAGTGTAGGTAGCGTTAGGGCCTTACTGTTGCCATACCACTGTTATAACAGAAAAAACTATAAAATATGCTTTACAAATGTACTTAGCACTCTACTTAGTTTGGGACCACCGAACATGCAAAATGCTTTAAAATGGATGATAGTAAAAAAAGAGCGAGGAGTTGAAACTGGTCACATGAAATAACAAAATCACCAGACCAGTCTCTCCTCCAATCACAGTGTACTTTCTGCTATATTAAGCAAAGACAACTCCAAGGGACAACACAAGCAGTGTTCACTGGAGAGCAGACAGTGATATTTAAATTGGCACCCATGTGGGTCCATAAACTAGCATTTACACAATGGAAAGCCATAAATGGTGCCCTTGATCTTTTCTAAAATGTTTACTTTAAAACAGATCTTGCAATATGAATACAGTTGAAAAATCTAGAAAATAATATTCCATTTTAATTTTTACTTACTGTAGTTTATATTTACTTTAGTTTTTCATGCTATTTTCTGGCCTACAATACATTCCCTGTGATAAATGTATTGTGGAGTTTTCAGAGCTGAATAGTCTTAGAATACATAAGGTTACTTTCCTATTTCTTTTCATCCTCCAAAGTCGCAAGACTCTTTGGACACACACAGATCTTATATTACGTAATCAGCAAATTAGGAAATTTGCAGAGTTATTTTCTCATTAATGCTTAGTTTCTTGTGTTTTCTGCCCCCTGTGGCTCAGTACACAGTTTCTGGTCTGGCCCTTAAAGCCCAGTTGATTTTTCAGTTTAAAGCACATAAATACATTTCACATGCATCAAAAAAGTGTGCAAAGTCTAACAGTTTGTTTTCTTTAAAAATCAGCCACAGCTTGAATAGAAAGGCATGTCCCCTGCCAGCAGCTGTAGCTTGGCACCTATACTCTCTGTGGGGAAGCAGTGGTCCTTTTGCAGAGTGATAAACAGAGGGCGCACGGGCTTAGTGCATTACCTTTAAAAGATCATTTATTATGTAAATAAATGGTAATATATTCACAAAGGAACAAATATCAAGGACACATCATATAAAGTACAGCAAGGTCCAGTTCCGTAATGGGACAACTAGACCTCCAAATGGCTGAAGCGTTTCGAGGACTTGCCTCTTCTTCAAAGCTGATGATGCCCTTGATATTTGTTCCTTTGTGAGTATATTACCATTTATTTATATAATAAATTATCTTTTAGAGGTAATGCACTGGGCCTGTGCGCCTTCTGTTTGTTTTTTTGCATGCAGTACTCTGGATCCCCCTGGTCTATTGAGGGCAACAAGGTGTGCAGCTTCTAGGCATCCCACTTGTGGTTCATACCTATATGGAGTCCATCCTCCAGCGAGAAGTATATGCTTATGCCATTCTTTGCTAGTCCTTTTGCAGAGGTCTGACACACCCCTTTGCTGAATCAAAGCCAGACCTATAGCTCCGAATCAGTGTGAGCATTGCTGATTTAGAGCTATAGGTCTTAGACAGCAGGGGGAGTGTTGGACCTCTGCAGTGAGACCACTGCTTCCCCACAGAGAGCAAGGGTCCCACTGTGCAGGGGACATGATTTTCTACTCAGGCTTTAGCTGTTGGATGAAAAGAACACTGTCACGATCGCATGGTCGCCACCACCAACATGCGACAATCGCACGACTGCGACTAACAGTAATACGTCAGGCCCACAGCGTCAGACCCCAGACCTTCTCACCAAGCTCGTGACCGAAGGACCGGCCGATCTAAAACCGCGGTGTGACGCGTGTAACAAGGCCACACCCATCTGCACCCTGCACAGCGATTGTCCAGCTAATGGGCCACAATCGGTGCCTGCAGCCTGAATGCGCTTGTTACTGGGTCGGGTTAATTATGCAACTAACCCTCTACTGCCACCACCACTTTTGTCGGAGAGACTGGGAAACTCCCGTTGTCAAACATACACTATAAGGATTGAAAAGTCGCCTGTCCAATACGGTCACCGCAGGCCGATTGGGCAGAGGATTAAATAAACACAGTAGTGTCTCTTCAAAGGCAGGAATTTTGTGAATTGCAAGTAAGCGCTTAGAAACAGTTTAACACTTTCAGAAAGAAAGATTTATTACTAAAAGAGTCAAACAGGTGCAATACAATATTTACAAAGAGATGTCACAAAAAAAAAAATAATAAAAAAAAAAAAAAAAATATATATATATATATATATATATATATATATATATATATAAAGATACAGCAAAGGGATAATAGGAAAGAAGTTACAGGGCTAAGTTACTTTCCAATTTAAGCCTTGGTTTGCAGATCCAAGTTGCAGAGCAGGAAGGTTCTTTGATCTCCCTTTGTTACGATGTTCAGCTGAGGAGATCTGTTACACTCTAACTTGCAGGCTTGCTAGCCTGTCTCTTTTTTAAAAATCCCTCTGAAAGGGGGGTTGCTCTGTCTACGCTGTTTTGGGAGGAGTCAGTGGGGAACTCTGAATTAGAGCCAACATCTGTCATAATCCATGACATGAAACATCGGGGGGGGGGGGGAAAGCCTGACTTGAGGAATGTTCAATTTTCTTTCAAGTCCAGAGAGAAGCTATCTGATCTTGATTATGATGGGGGAGAAAGTTTACACTTTCCCAGACTGCTGGCACCAACTAGGGATGCCTAACCCGTGGTTGAACCCCCCCCCCATCTGTCAGGAGATAAATTTGCCTCTCAGGAAGGGAGGGGATAGGGAGTGTGAGGAATAAGGAATACTTCCATTAAAAGAAAAAGGGGAACTCCACGACCAACTCTGATGAGCTAGTTTGCTACAAACACCTTTTGTTGATGCACCTGGAATGTATTTTTCTTATTTAATTGGTAAGTTTAGTTGGGTTTTGGAGAACAGTTGCTGAACCTAAGTAATTATGTCTGAGGCTTAACCTAATATGATATATATATATATATATATATGTTGATGAACATGCAAAAAAAGATACATATGGTCATTTATTAAGGCAAAGAGAGAAGAGCAGCAACCTATGGTCACCAATTACAGCACTTTATACAGCATCTTTCCAGTTTTCATTGCCTTACTGAATAAGCCTGATGAATATGTACATAGACACATGTGGCATGTGTTAACTAGAAACTTGTCAATGGAGATATGAATAGCACAGAACAAGAAAATGCTGAGTAAGTGGTTTCAGTTTGCAAGGGTCAGCACTTCTGTAAGTAAGCAGCTGGACATAAGCCATACTTTCCAGAAAGAAAAGGAATAAAGCTCTTACTTACACCAAGACACACAGCCGGCCGGGCATTAGACAAAGGAGAAAAGGGAGAGAAGACACATAGTAATGCAGATTTTAGTTATCAGTAATCAGTTGTATTTATTTATCTTTGTAACACTACTGCTGTTATGTACTATATCACTATGAACAAACTATAAAAATACACTACTTACTATTTATATCATTTCTACATGCTGGAAGTACCAAACCACAGCACACTGCAAGGCAATTGACATTTCACAAGCTTAGACAGACATTTTTTCTTTTTTTACAGGTTATAACACAATGAGATTCAGGATTAACCCAGACCACATGCTCATTCAGTGCAGAAGCATGCTGCCTCCATAAGGTGGAAAGGCTAAAAGGAAGGCTAAGACCTAACACTGCTTAAACAAAAACTGCACTAAGCAATACTGTATCTGAACTGACTACACAAGATATCCCCAGTGCAATTCAGAAAAAACAGGCCAACTGTACACTAGTGTACAGTCATCTACATGCAGAAGAATTATAAATGTTAGGACCTGTGTGTGGCCACACCCCATCTTCAACAAATTATAGGAGCCTTTCTCAAGCTTTTCAATACAAGGGAACCCTTAACCTCTTGGCGTTGGCACTTTCCGTCCCTTTAGGGGTTTATGGCCCCCGGGAGGTGGGGTTTAGGGTCCGTGATTAGCTGTCAAACTGGTCACATGATCAGAAAGGTCCCAATCGCAAATAGTTATCAAGACCTTTCCGTGAGGCACTGATAAATGTGCCGAGAGCATGCAGGGCGTGCGCTCTTGGCACATGTTTGTTTACTTTTGGTACGCAAATATAAGGTCGCTCAGCGTCAAGGCCCAGCTACCCAGAGGCAGCATATTTGCGTACTGTCAGCACCAACAGGTTAAAACAATTTTCCAGTCTCAGGGAACCCATGTTTAAAATACAGTATATCTACAGC